AGGAGGGGAGTCAGGGCTATTTGGGGTTTCTGGGAGGTAAGGACGATGGATCCCACCGGTCCTGCCTGGAGATGGCTGCAGAGGGAAGATGAGATTCAGACCTATAGAGTTGCCTGGAAACAAAGCAAGAGTAGCTAAGAGGTGTAGGCAAAGGAAAGCCACATGAATGTGCCAGCAAGGGGTCAGCAGTGGAGGTGGCCAAACTTAAGGAGCAATGCCCAGGAAAGCTTCAAAGGCTTGAGCCTGGCTGGAGCAGGGCAGGTTGGAGCTATCGTCCACCCTTAATGGCAATAATCCTGGTGAGCAACTATGGTCCACCAGGGAGACGCCTGTAACCTCACCCAGTTAAGTAAGATGTTTATTCTTGTCACAACACTGAGGAGCTAGCAGCTAGAAGAGAGAAAAGGGAAAGTTTTGTAGAGAGCAAACCATGCTCCCTCCCCCAAAGGAAACCATAGGAGCCATATAGTTGGATCTAGTCAAGTCTGGGGCCATCGGAGAAAGCTTTGAACTAAATATGCAGTTTAATTTTTAAAAATGAACAGAAAAGAGTCTTTAAAAGATGAAACAAGACTTCTGTGATAACCAAAATTTATTGGAAGCTATCAACTGTGGTCACTAATCATGAAGGGACTCAATATCCATTAAGAAAGGGAAGTTCCAACCCCGTACTCATGGAGACAGCTACTAGAAGAAATTAAAACCACTTATGTTCAAACCCTCAAATTTTTTTCTTAAAACTATCTACTTTAAACAAATTTTCGGGGAAAAAAGGGAAGATGGTATTCACTCCAGTTCAGTCAGGAATCGAGTATTGACGTTCTAAGGCACATACCTGGTTTCTTGTGGTGCCTCCCATTATTACTCTGTCAATTGCACTTTGTTGGGTTCCTGTGAGTCATGGTGGCTTAGAGGTCTGAGTGAATCTCCCTTCACATTCTAGTCCATCCACTGATAAGATAAATGTGCTCTTCTCAAATCCTTCTTTTCCAACCTAAGTCAGATGACCTATCTAAAATCCAGATCTTAGCCACTTGCTGTAACACCTGGGTGAATGATGTAACCTCGTTTTCTCATTGACAAAATCCAGGGGTGACTCTACGAGCCTTCTGACCCTTCTCCTTAGTAAGGAAGAGACTTTTAGGATGCATTATCCCGAGATATAGAGCAAGGTGGAATTGAAAAAAAAGTTTAAAAGGTGTTTAAGTGGACTCATGGCTAACAGATGAGACTATAAAGAGTAATGTAGACAGAAAGAGATGAGAAGCATAGGCAAGAATCTGGTTTTGGGAGTGAGCATGTTTCAGGACACTTTGAGGAGAGACAGATTGTAATTAAGTTAAAGGGAGGAAGGCAATTAGGTAATGAGGGCTAAGGGCTTTACAATGTGAGATTTTATAACCATATTTGAAAAAAATTCCCCTGGGCTCTGAGAAAAGAAAGCATATAGGGAGGCTCAGGAGAGAGAGAAATAGTTTATGAGCTTGGGAACTAAGGACAAAATGAGGATGATAGTTTAGGAGTGACACAGGAAGAGCATTCACATAGTTTGATAAAATTAGCATCCAAACTGGCGGGTGAAGAGAGGATCTCCCGAAAACAGCCGGAAACACAATAACATCAACAACTGCTATAGCAATTTAAGGGTTACAAACCATTCTAATATGGTCCTCAAACTGACCTCAACAGGGCAACCACAGAGGGAGTCAGAGGCCAGGGTTAGGGGCAGGTCTCTGAAACTTGGTTCGTATGTCCAGTGAAGAGGATGTTAAAACTGATAGGCTGAGCTTGCAAAAGTCAATTTTCCTTCCGTCTCCTAAAACCCTTCGTAATCTTAACTACAATACATATAGGATAAGGAAAAAGAATTAAAAACATAAAACTCACCCCCAAACTCAAGTGCTGTGTTAGGGCTAAGCACTAAGTGTTTCAAGGTTATTAATAGGAAACAACCAACAGAGATTTCCGGGGGGGAGGGGGGGTGGTGCGGATAATAAGCTAAAAGCAAACACAAATATCTTTATGCATATTGAGAAGGCTATATTGGTAGAATATACATGACACAACTCACTGCCATTCTTTTGCAACATTCATCTTTATGTCAAACCATGAGGAGCATGTTTTTCGGGTGCTCTTAGGGAACGTACTCAGTCATCTTTGTCAGTGTTATTCTAGTCCCAGCTGTGATTCACTGGTTTGTTTATATCTGAATCCTGACTATGTGTGTGGGGCTTTGTAGGTGTAGACAAATTTGTATTAGATAATAATACGTATCCCTTTCCTGTGGCTGCTGTAGCAAATTCCCACAAACTGGGTGATTTAGAGCAATAGGAATTTGTTTTCTCAGTTCTGGAAGCCAGAGTCTGAAATCAACGTCACTGGACAAACATTACAATGTCAGCACCGTATGCTCCTTCTGGCAGGGTGGGGGAGAACCCCTTCCTTGCCCCTTCCAGCTTCTGCTGGAATTCTAGTGGCTTCTGCTGTGCTCAGCCACTTGTGGCCCCGTGACTCTAATTTTTATTTTCACAGCACCTTCCTCTGTATGTGTATGTGAACATCTCCTGTTTCCTCTCTCTTACGAGGACCCTTGTGACAGCATGTGGCACTCCCTCTGTTAATCCAGGGTATTCTCCTGTCTCAAGATCCTGAATCACATCTGCAAAGTGTGTGCGTGTGTGCGTGTGTGTGCGTGCATGTATGTGCATGTGTGTGCACGTGTGTGCACATGTGGGTGGAGATAAATATCTTTTGCTATTCAGTTAGTGTTCAGCTGAGTCTCCTTAATGGTCTAGATGTTCTTCTCAGAAGTGGAGAAGTATGGCCATCAGGTGTTATACTATGATTTGATGACCACTGTCCATCCATGTGCCTTAGTCCAGCGCCTCAGGCATGTTTCTCTTGTCTCCTGTCCTGTGGTGCCGTTACCTATGTGGTGACTCTGAAGTCACAGCTCACTACCTACTCTCAAATCAGGAAACTTCTCTAATTTGCAGTTGCTTGAACCCCAAAGTACACAGCAACACAGAGCCCTGACCCAAGGGTCCTTTAATGTTGTGAGTGGCTTTCTCTGAGTGCTGGACCCTTGACTTCTGAAGTTCTCTGGTGCCAGAAAGTCTGTAGTGACAGGATTTCAGGGGCCTCCGCCCTAGGAGTTGATCACGTGCCTCTGGTAAACAAGCATTCTTATCTTAGACACTGGGAATGGCTGCTTATCAGGCAAGACTTTTCACTGACCCGATCAGAGGCACAGCTGCTCATCTGCCAGGCCCTAGGAAAATCACTGAACTGTATGAAGACTGCAAAATCAGTGGCCAAGGGCTCTGCAGCTTGTCTTTGGAACTGTTATTGTGACTCCAGACTTAGCCTCCATTGAAGACAATTGTGGACCGAGTTCAGTCATAAACATGCTGGGATTGCCATCAGAAAAGGCAAGCTGACACTAACAGGTTTCTCTTTGGTGAGCTGGGACACGCCCCAAATGAGAGTTGATCCGACTGAAACATACACTTGGAGATTGA